AATATTTCATGAAGAAGAAATGAACAATATACGTCAAGACCAGCAAGGRGAAGAACTATACTAAATGAAGAAAAAAATCAAAAGAGAAACCAACTCAACTTAAAAACAAGTAATAAACCAAAAATGACTGGAATTACAAATCATGTCTCAATGATAATTTGAATGTAAATGAGCTAAAATCATCACTTACATGAGTCTCATACGTAAGTAAGCAGGGGGATCCATCCTCATATCAGATAAAATGGACTTTAAGCAAAAGTTCATCAGAAGGGACACAGAAGGACATTTCAGATGGCTGATAAAAATTAGACATCAACAAAACATAAATATTGAGCATTTATGCCCCAAACAATGGTGCATCTACATACATCAAACAAACCCTTCTCCACTTCAACAATGATATCCATCACAACAGAATAATATAAGTCATTTTCACACACTGCTCTCCTGATGCTCAGATCCACCAAACAACAACTCAATGAAAAACTTATAGAACTACATGATCCAATCAGTCACTTGGAGGTAACAGACATACAGAGCATTTCATGCATTGATGATGGGATGCACTTTCTTCTCAKCAGAACACAGATGCTTCTCTAAAAGGGACCATATCTTAGGCCACAAAGCAACTCTTAGTAAACACCAAATCAAAGGGATAATACCTTGCATCCTATCAGATCCCAGTGGAATAAATTTAGAAATCAACAATAAAGGGCTCGGGCCGGGGCTCAGCTGCAGAATGCTCACCTAGCATATATGAGGCCCTGTGTTCGATTCTCAGAACCACATATAAATAAATAAATGTATTGTATCCAGCTACTATTAAAATCTAATTTTTTTWAAAAAAGAAATCAACAATAAAATAAAAATTGAAATTACTCTTAAACTTAGAGACTAAATAACATACTACGGAATGACCAGTGGATATCAGAAGAAATCAGAAATGAATTTAAATATCCTTAGGGGTACATGAGAATATTGACACAACATATCCACCTCTCTTGGACACTAGGCAGGCAGTTCTAAGAGGAAAATTTATTGTTTCTTTATCCAAAGAATAGAAATCACCCAATGAATAACCTAACATTACTTTTCAAAGGCTTGTAGTCATGAATTTCCATTTAATACCAAATCTCATAAATCTTTATAAAATTTTGTATAAATTGCTTAGGAAGGAAACAGATTTTTATTGTTCCTTTCAGGAAAAAAAAATCATGCCTTTGATTTCTCCAATCATGAGGATGAGGGTTGATCACTCAGGTTCTTAGCAGGGAGGAGTCGGGCTCAGACTCTGCCTGAGTGTCACATATGTTCAGCCTCCCTGCTGTGGGACCTCAACCCCTGCCTCCAGTTCTGCCTCTGTTTCTCTGTTTTGTTCCATGTGCACTTTCATGGGATGCACAGCTTGAATCCTGAAATTTTAAGGATGGAAATCACAAAGTACCTGAGCAGTAACATGAAGAAACCAGGTGATCCACACAAGAATGGTGTGGGAAAGAGGGGATCCATCAGACTCTGCAGTAAGGGTACCTTCAGAGCCACAGGGGACACCAGGAGTCTCTCTCTCCTCAGMATTCAAGCAACACATCCTGTGGAATGGCTGTGGGCTCATTTGAACTTTGGACCCAGTGGAGAAAAATTGTGTCAGCACAAACTATTTTTTGTCAAGGGAACTTAAGAGAAAATTGGAGCACCCATCTCCCCAGATGGTTATTATCCAGAACAGGATCCAATCAAGGGGAAAGTGAAATGTTCCTCTAAAGACTCCATAGTCCTGTTCTCCCCAGAGGGATCCTGTCACCTTAATAAGAATACTAAAACGACAGGCTGAAGAGAGATGAGCTCACAGCACTCCTTTGCTTAAAATTAGGCAGGCTGTTCTCAGGTGCACCAAGTGCCCTGCGTCCATCCATCCAGGTAGGTGCCTCTCTGCTGCACAGATGTAGGGAGTAGGTACACGGGCTTCTGGGAGGAGAAGGGAAGGGGGCAACATGGGTCTCTTAGGGCAGTTTCTGTTTGCTTGAGAAGAGACATCCAGCTCTGACCACTATACTCCACCAGACAATAGTCCTCTGTAAAATGCACTGAAAGAAGCCTTCCTAAGTTATGTCCTCTGTTACTTTGAGAGTGAAAATGGCTACAAGCATTTATTTTTAGATTTTCATAAAATGTTTCTGGTCCTACATTTAATAAATTAAAAATTAATGGTGCCCCATCCAAAGCATATGTTCTGCACATTATCAAATTTCAAGGGAGAAGGCTGTGGCCCTGACGTCCCTTTCACATGAAATATTAAAAAGATAAGTGAACCTGATGGTGAACACCTTTCCTTGCTCCAAAAGACCCTGGAATGTAATTTGAACCACTTTTGTTGGAAGAATATTTATGGCCATTCATATTTTCTTTTTTCCCTATTAATTTACATTATTTTCTTTCCCAATTCCCTAATATTGAATGTATTTGAAGAGAATCTAATAAATATTATTAGAAAGAAGACTTGGAGATCTTGGAGCTCATCCTGTGCAGGTCTGAATGCTCAGGGTTTTTTTTTGTTTTTTTAAAGTACATCTTTTCATGCAAATGCATTTACAGAGAAAATGTGAGCTAATCTCCTTTTCTTCTTCCTTAAGCATCTTGGACTTGACTCATGTCATAAATTGGTTAACCATGGAGAACTTCTCCTGCAGGTACATGTCACGACAAAGCTTCTTTGGAGTTCCTGATTGATGTTAGAGAAGTAATTTTTTCTTCTTAGGTTGCTCAAGACAGACCTGAAAAATGCTGTTAGTGTCTTACTGCCATTGGGAACTCTGACCTGTCCTCAAATCCTTCCAATTTACAGAAACAATGGATTATTTTCTGTCAGATTTTTCAGGGATAATTCTCATTCATGTACCCAAGTCTTCTCCAGGTTTTTCTATTTCACATCCATGAAGCTTGTGTATTTCTTAGAGGCTCTGCCCACAGCAGGTCACCTGGTGGGTGATGTCTGTGCCCTCCCTGATGGGCAAGCTGTTTCTCCCTAATGCTATCCATAATTTCCTAGAAGTGTGCCACAAATTAGAGTTTGCTGCCCAATTTCCCCTCAGTCCCAAACCCAAATAAAGCAGGAAAGTACCCCTCCCCAATCTCAATTGTCCCTCTTTACCTTAGCATCCAGAAGGCCATGTGGGAAGGGTTAACTACAGGGCCATGAGAAGCTAAGGTATGCTCCTTTGGCATTATTATTATTATTATTATTATTATTATTATCATTATTTTAGTATCATGGATTGAGCCTAGAGATTCTTAAACTCCGATCTACATTCTCAGCCCTTCTTATACTTATTGAGAGGCAGGTTCTTTCTCAGTTGCATAGGGACTCACTGAGTTGCTGAGTCTGGCCTTGAATTCGGGAACCTTCTCTCTGAGCCTCATGAGCTGGTGGGAATTCCTTAGTATCTACCATTCACAGGTATAAGCTCATCAGCTGCTTTAACCTTTAGACTTTGCTTTTCAGTTGATATTGTGGTTCCAAGCATGAAAACACATTAAATCTTAGTCATTACATATCAGAGAAGCTTGGATGAAAGGAAATACATATGTTGTCCAGGAAAATACTCTGCCAGTAAGTCAATACAAAATGTTCTAGAACACGGGGTGGGATGGGGTGGGGCTCAGTAGAAGAGAACTTACCTACCATGTATGGGGTCCTGGACTTGATCCTCAGCATTGCAAGAAAAAAAATCAGTATCAATTTTATACATGGGCCTCTTGAGTCCGGAGAAATGGCAGTGCTCTCTGGAAAGAAGGAAAACCTGGACTCTATGGTTATGTGGACCACAGAGATTCCACATATGGAACAAGAAAAAAAATATATATCCAAGTGTGTTTTTGCTTAATATTTAATAACTGGACTTACTCACATAGGCCACATTATGATAAGAAAAATATTAAAATTATTCAGCTGTAGAGGGGGATTCAAATAGTCCTAAAATTCCACCACCAGTCTCTGGACTGAGATTGCCAACAGACTCAGATATTGTGGAGATTTTTTAGCTTCTCTGAGTGGGTAATGGAGGTGACCCCAAATTAAGAGAACTCTGTGAAGTCTACCAAGTGACATGGATGATGGTCCATTTTGAAAAGCAGAGGTATTCCACAGGCACCACTGGTGGCAAGAAGCCCTCCTGGATTTGTACACGTGCTTCACTCTGTTGCAGCCACTCGATCTCCAGGACTCACACGATGAGTCTGGCTGGGTTTACAGGTGACAGGAGCTCAGGCTCCTGGGCTTCTCCAGGTCAGATGCTCACCCTTTAAAGGACAGATCTTATTGAACCTTGCAAGGCATCTGACTTCAGAGTGTGCAATTCTTCATATTTTCTGGGAGAATGTGTTAAAAAAAATCACCTGTGTTCCTAATCCAATCAGAATGAATGCAACAGAAAGCTAACGTGAATGTGGGTCATCCAAGAAACTGACTCTCTTTGCTTTGGAGGGTCTTCCTTCCAATGCAACATAGATGACCTTAATTTATCAAATATTGAACAGTTTCTTGTATGTGCCATGTTCCTGGGTGAGGATGAATGGAGACAGCCCAAGAAATCTCCCTTGCAGTAAGATATCCCCATGAAAAACTCAAGGTCATCCCAAGGAATGATTTCTAGGATATATGGCCATTTTTTTAATGTCTAAAAAAAGTTTGGTAGTTTGCATCAAATAGAATCCAGGCATGGTTGGGCAATGAAGGGAATAGAGAGGAGGAATGGCTTCCAGAGGCTGCTATGGAAATTTGCATATTGGTGGGAGAAAGGGACTCTGGGACTCCACAAATTTTCCTTGTACCAACAGTGTTGACTGACATGGATGAATTTTAATACTTATGATAATGAATTTCTTCCTTTTCTCCTAAGGCATGTTCTCCATGAGCCTTGCCCCCAAAGATGGGAAAACACTCTGACCTGAATGGTGTTGCTAACCTAAGAAGCACCTTTTACTCTGAAGTGGGAATTAGGATCATGGCCAACACCCTCCTCTTTCTGTTCCGTGTCATCAAGTTCCTCTGTGACAAGAGGCTCAAGAGCACGGACTGGATCATTCGTCGCTTGGCCCTGACCCACCTACTGATGCTGGTCACCATGGGGTTCTTAGCTGCAGACACCTTTACATCTTGGGGGGGGGCGGTTTAGGGTGATGTCACATGTAAATCAGTTGCCTACTTGTACAGGTTGATGAGGGGCCTGTCCATTTCTGCCACCTGCTTGCTGAGTGTCCTGCAGGCCCTCACCCTCAGCCCCAGAAGCTTCCCCTTGGCAAAGTTCAAGCCTAAGTCCCCACAGAACATCATAGGTCCCTTCTTTTCCTATGGGTCTTCTATATGTCCTTCAGAGCCCACTTCTTCATCTCTGTGGTCAATGACTCCAACGGGATGTCACACAATCTAATGTTCCTCAGTGACTCCTGCACTATGATCCACAGGAGCTACTTCATCAGACATTTATTTACAAACCTGGGTGTTTTGGGATGTCCTTCTTATAGGGCTCATGGCCCTCTCCAGTGGGTACATGGTGGCCCTCTTGTGCAGGCATAAGAGGCAGTGCCAGCACCTTCACAGCACCAGCCTGTCCCCAAGAGCCTCCTCAGAACAAAGGGCCACTGGGACCATCCTGGTGCTCCTGGGTTTCTTCATGCTCATGTACTCTTTGGACAGCATGGTCTTCTCCTTAAGAACCATGTGGGAAAATGACCCTGTTTGTCCTTGTATCCAGATGATGGTGGCCAACGGCTATGCCACAGTCATCCCTTTGGTTTTCATCTGCACTGAAAAACAAAGTGCCACCTTTTTGAAATGCTTGTGGCAGAAGAATCGCCAATGCTTAATCATTGCATGATGATTCAGTCCCCTGCATGAGCCACCACCCAGATTTTTCCCAATGAACCATGGAGTGGTTGGTGTGTGTACTCTCTTTGTTGAAGGAATATAGGAAGTGGGTTTATTTGATTTCATTTTATTTTTTAAATTGTTTTTTAAATAATTATTTTTTTAGATTTAGGTGGACACAATATCTGAATTTTATTTTTATGTGGTGTCAAACCCAAAGTTGACAGCCTTTGGGACGGGAGTCCCCCAGTCTTCTTTGCTAGCAAAGCAATAAATCTTTTTTTTTGTTAAATAAAAATAAAGAAATTTCTATGTCTATCAGGATGGATTTTTTTCTGCTTTTTTGGGGAAAAAAATCAGTGGTATTTACCTAGGGATGGTTGGTAACTTTGTGTTGAGTTGGATTCTTAGCAATAGTAATTAATCCAATCGATGGACCCATAGGTGAAGGATCAGGAGAGCCAGTAGGTAGTTTTTAAATGTTATTATTCAATGTTATTATTCATCAGAAGAATGCTGGGAATGTGGCTCAGGTGGTAGCGCACTCGTCTGGCATGTGTGCGGCCCGGGTTCGATCCTCAGCACCACATACCAACAAAGATGTTGTGTCCACCGAGAACTAAAAAATAAACATTAAAAATTCTCTCTCTCTCTCTCTCTCTCTCTCTCTCTCTCTCTCTCTCTCTCCTCTCTCACTCTCTCTTTAAAAAAAATGCAAATCATTGTGACAGTGACCTGATCCCTGGGCCCCAGTTGAATAGTTAGTCACAAAAAGACAAAATTAAATGCTGGTGAGGATATGGAGGGTAAAAGCTCATTTATTTTGGGAAGGGAAATTAGTGCAATAATAATAAAGATCAGTTTGGAGGCTTCTCAAGAAACATAAATAGATCCACCAAAGCATCCAGATATCCCACATCCAGAGGAAATAAAATCTGCAACAGAGTGGTTCTGAACGACTGTGTTTTTCATATCACCATTGAAAACAGCTAAGAGTCCCTAAGCCCAGGTGCCCACCCACCCACAGATGGATAAAGGGGGTCACCTCCCCACACCCAAAGCGTCTGTTGAACTTCTCATGAAATCTTTCTTGTCCCACATTTAATCTCACAGTTTCAAAATCCACGGTGCCATCCATAGTGTGCCATCCACAGTCTGCCCCGCAGCAAATCACAAGTGAGAGGATAGGGGTCCTGGGTCACCTTCACATCAAAAGACAAGTGAGCCTGGTGGTTTGCTGCCAAAGACCTGGGAATACGAGTACCAACATCTAGGCTGGAGGAACATAGGTGTTCATTCATCTGGTCTCTTTTTATGAGTCATTTAAAAATTCTCCTTCCCATTTCCCTAATAATGAATGTGTCTGAAAGGCATTTTGTTAGGAAGACTATTTAGAGAATTTGAGCCTCATCCATTCAGGTCTGTAGGCTCATGCTTATTTTTTTTAATGATATCTTTTCATGCAAATGCAGTTACAGAGAAAAGAATGTGCAGTATGTTATGTTCTTTACCTTTAAGCAAATTGGACTTTACCTGTGTCTTTATTGAGTTCATCAGGAAAACAGATTCTCCTGCAAGTATGGTTGCATTTCCCTGTCCTGAAAGATTTGGAATGAAGCTCCCTTGCTGTTTCTTCTTTTTAGAAGTGTAATTTTTCTTCTACGGCTTCTGAAGACAGATTTTCAAATATTCCTAGGGTCTAGCCAGAAGTGTGAACCTTGAGCTGGACTTAAAACCTTTCAATTTACAGAAATAATGGATGTAGGTCAGGCCCAGCAACCTGCCGAGTGACAGAGCTGCCACAGGCGCCTGCAGGGAACTCGGTCCTGCGACCCACCAGCAGGACAGGTCCAGTGGCCTGCTGAGGGGCAGGCCCGCCCCCTCCCCCAGTGCCTGGAGGGTGGCGGAGCCGCCTCCTCCCCCTGCGCCTGCAAGGTAGGCAGACCTGTGACCCACCAGGAGGTTAGGCCCAGCAACCTGCATAGTGACAGAGGTGCCCCTCGCGCCTGCTGGGTAGGCGGACCTTAGACCGACCAGCAGAGCAGACCTAGGGCCCGCCAGCATGGTAGACGGATCACACCAACTGGAGGAGGATCACAGCCACTACCTGCCCTGCAAGGGAGATTGATCAACTATACAAGAGCAATATAAATAAATAGAGGGAAAATTTCAAAAACACAACAGTTTCACCAAGCAGTAAGAAACGCGAGCAGTATGAAAAGACAAGGAAAGAAAGGACCACA